AGGAATTTACCTACAAGAATAGGTCACAAAGAAAACTGGTTTATATCTTCTTCTCAAAAGCAAAAGAATTAGACCAGACGGGCAGTAGGAATACCATCTGTGCCCAATTAAAGGGTGAGACTGCATAACAGCAACAGATGCTACATTATTGTAGTCAGAAGGGTTTATTGCTAACAGTGGTAAATATTGTGCATGTTGAGATGGATATTTCCAAGCAGTAATTTAACAGACATACTTCTACATAGGCTACCGCTTTCTTCCTGGATATTTCATTAGTTTTCAGTGTCATGAAAGGTCAAATTGCAGAAGAGGTCTAGATAGCAATATTTTCTACATACTGAGAATGCTGAGGACTGAAAAGCCCATGATACCCATCACAAAAAAACATCTAGTGCTGACAATTAAGGAAATGGGCAAGATCACATGAAGAAGACATGACAGAAAGGGCTAACATTCCTGCAGCTTCACTCAATTCCCGAAAGCCCTCTCTAAAACTAGAGAGAACAACCATGAGAGGGTTCATCTGACTGTGTGTATCAGATGGATCCCATAACCAAATGGCATTTAAGTTCATAGCATGACTCAGGAGCAGGGGCTTTCTTCAATGTGGGACAATTTCTTCTCCTGAATAAGTTCTGCAAGCTATTTGAAACTACCCTGTACTGATAGTCCAAAGGAGAAGTTGTGGTACATGGAGTAGCAACATCTTTCAGTTGCCATGAGCTTCTGCTGGCCACAGAGGTGGACACACTTACGTTGCCTGATAATTACAAGATTACATCCAATTATATCTGTGTTAAGGCTTTATGCAAGCCTCATTCCTCCATTTATTTAATTTTTACTCTCACTGTTCTGATTTGATGTGCAATTATGTACATTTCTGTTGATGCGACTCCACATGAAGCCTAAAGCATGGATTTGGTGTTTTGTGACTATGTGTAGTACTCAGTGTGGTATTAGCTACTCACACACAGAGAGACGTGGGGTTTTGTTTGTTTGTTTTAATTAGCTTTTTTTTTCTTACTTTAGAGTTGAAGTAATCCAAAGGGCTATGAAATTCTGAACTAAATGTGCAGGAATACCTATGCAAAGTTTTTTTCTCTGCTTACTTTTTTCCTTTCTTTTGCAGAGATTTTAGCTCATTTTCATTGCTAAAGCAAGGAATGACAATAGCTCACAGGTTTTATTACCGCTTTGTGTTTCTGCTTGCATCCCTGTTCTCTTCTTCCCTAGAGAGACCTTTCCATGCACGTCTCTTGAAATAGGCATTCTCTGCTTCTGAGACACAAGTTATGGTAAGGGGGCACTTTGTGGGTAGACTTACAAGCATCACACTGATAAAATGGCATCAGATGAAGTCTTGCTTTGTCCAAAAGAGATAAGTTAGCAGCTGGGAATGAATGAATACCCAATCAGTGATCTACAATTACAGGAGCTGATGGGAAGCAGTGTCAGGAGAATCCAGAGATTGCCATAGAAATGTAACAAAGGATGCAATCCTCAGGGACTGCACCTGAGTCAAGTACCAAATGTGCAGGAATTCTCGGTGAATGAAACTCTCAAGTTTAAGAGAAAAATAGAAACCATATCACAGATAAAGATAATTGAGCTGTCTGTCCTGTTTGTGATATCACAGTAGATCCCATCTGGACGTCAGCCGTGATTGCTGCTATGCCACTTTCCCAGCCTTGTTTGAGTGAAATATATAAACCTCAGGAGAACTTTCAGAGCATTGGTAGTTCCTTTTGCCAGGAAATCTAGAAACACATTATCGGTTTTGGACCACAGCAAGCACTTCAGTTGCTTGTTATGGAAATTCTGTGTAACAACAGCCTAATGCATTCAACTCCGGGATAGCATTTTTCTGACCATTTTTGAGTGACTCACAGTTTTTAAAAAGACAAGAGGGTATTTCCTGGGTAGAAGGAGGGTGTACAAAAGTGGTTCTATTTTAAGAACAGCCTTAACTCTGAATATCCTTCATCCAACAAGCTACTGGAAAAGAGAGTGTCATGCAGTCTGTAAGCCTCTTTCTAAACCCATTTCTGTGTGCACTCCACATACCTGGAAAAAGAAAGGAAGCATTATGATAATCTAAAGGTCTGGCAAGACTGATATTTCTACTGTCTGGAAACATAACGTTTCTCCCGATCAGAGGCATTTTGGAGTGAATAAAATTCGTGTGCACTCCACATACCTGGAAAAAGAAAGGGAGCATTATGATAATCTAAAGGTCTGGCAAGATTGATATTTCTACTGTCTGGAAACATAACATTTCTCCTGATCAGAGGCATTTCGGAGTGAATAAAATTGATTGTATTTCAGTCAACTACAGCTGTAAACAACACAGACAGTTCCAAACCCCCAGATCCACCACCACCTCTAGTGTAAATGAGGGAATAGATGTCATTAATATTGACTGCCTTAATATATTAGACCATGGAATCATCAACAGGGATTGTTGGTCTTTTGAAAGTAAAATGCAACAATTTGTGTTTGAGGAGACACAGGGCCCTCCTTTAAATGCCAATCTTAGAAGGGAAGAAATCAAGAATTATGTCTTAGCCCTGTCACAGATTTCCAACAGGAAGCCAAATTCTTTAAAAAGATATTTATTCTATCACCTAGCAAAATTAAAACAAAACAAAACAAGCATGATCAATTGGGAATCTAGCAGTTGCTAATTCTTTCAGTGATCTAAACATCTCAAGCACTCTGACTTGGGAGGTTAGGTGCTGGTCTTCTGCAACCTAAAGCCCAAGCGCACAATCTAAGACAGACTCCGGGGCTCCCGCTGCAGTGCAGGGAAGGAAACAGGCATCCTCCGAGGGGATTCATCTGCCCATCTCAGACAGCAGTGTTGAGATGAGATGAGTAGCTGGCTGGTGGTGCCTTTCTCTCTCTGGTGACTGCAGAGGAAACCTACCTAAATTTCCAAGCTATGTTTTGGTCATACAAATCCCATCATCTGAGACTCTCCAAGATGCATTAACATGACTTTTGGGCCTGACAATGATGTTGTTCACATGAGCATGGGTGACTGTGAGGTATTTATACTAGGAAAAAGCTTAAATTCTATTTAAGAAAAAGACTTTTTTCTTACGATTTTCCTATCTATCTCAATCAATTAAAACCACACCAAATATATACATAGTCAATAGTTTATACACAGTACATTGTGTCCGGAGCTCTTCAAATAGCTTGTTTTAGAGAATGTTTATATGAAAAAGGGAGAAATATTGTAATACTACACATTTTTGCACATTTACAAGCTGTATGTGTAGTCTTGAGCTTCTATAATCAAACTGAGGTCTGGTCAATATCCCTAGCAAATAGTTATAAATTAAAAAAAAAACCCACAACAATTTCAGAAACAGGAAGAACTCTCTCTGAATTCATTTAAAATTCAGGAAATAAGTTTTGACAGGGGAAAAAACAGAAGAAAACATTTGGAGAGGTCAGACTTTTTTTCAACAAAGTTAAACATTTGTAATTTTATTTAAGTTAATGCTCTCATTTAAAATTTGATCTACTATATAGAAGAGAGAAATAACCCTAAATGAAATTTTAAAAACCAAACTCCAAAATGAGTTCTCTTTAATTTGCACATTGAATGAAGAAAAAAACCCAATTATTTTCACTTCTCTTATTAAATTATCAAAAATTATCTTAGAAGAAGATCTTTCCCTCTAAGAGAACAATGAAATTCTTAGGCCTCGGAAATAGATAAAATGCCATTATAATGTTAAAGAGCAATCATATTGTATATAATGCCTGAAACTAAAGCACTTGGCTTAAATTGTGGCTTTGGTGGTTTTGAAAGCATTGTTGAGAAGTCAAAATGAGAAGAAAATCTTATATCCAGACTCTGAATTACAAGTTGGGTTAGAGGCAGAATCTGCAGTAAAAGAAGTAGATTTTTTAAGAAAGTTTTATTTTCATTCGTAACAGAATGATCTTATGCATTAAATGTTTGTAGATGAAAGCTTGGTTAGTGAATATGTTTATCTTTCAATGAAATGCAGTTCTGTAAAATATTTTACTTCACAGTAAATGCACAACAGCAGCATTTTTTGTTACTTCACGTGCAATGTACATGAAAACGCTATACGATTTACAAAGCTTGATTCCATTCTCACTCGTCAGCTTTGCATTGGTGTTGGTTTAGTGGCTTGATTCCTCTTGAAACTGGCTGAATTCCCAGTCTAAGTGAGAGGAGAATCAAACATGCAGGTTTTTTTTTAGTTCAGGACAATGAATAACAATGAGCTTCCCTGGTTCTAGCAGCTTTACTTCATTTTGATACATAAGTTGTGGCCTCTTTGTTCATTAGCACATGCATTCAAGCTCCTGCTAAGCAAAACATAATATATCTGTAGATGAAAGTGCCCAGTGATTTTCATTCTTTCTGTTCCCACAGCTCCATGCCTTTAACAGCAACCCTGGGCGCTCTACAGAGACAGCACCGAGTGGCAGTGTACACTAGGAAGGCACAATGACTCCTTAGGACTTCACATGTTTATAAACCATCCTCCGGCAGCTACAAGCCATGAGACCGTGCATTGTGTGCACTTCACCACGGTTGGACAGATCTGCCAAAAGATAGACAGTAGAGCAGGAGTGTCCCTTCTATTCCCTGTGCCCCACAGGGTGTCTGCCGGAAGAGGGATGGATGCAGTCCTACCGCTGAGACTGCGTGAGTGAGGAGAACTCCTGCGTGCCTACCCAACTCACATGCATCACCACACGAACCAGCTACAGCCACGATATAGTCCTTATCTTGAGCTGATGAAGTCTCAAAATGCTGCAGCCCAGACAGCGTATAAAATGTAACGGAGACCCTTGCACATGGACTTTCTAAGGAACCAAAAGCAGCCTCCTTTTTGCTCCCTGTCTCTTCCTTGACTGTCTCTCCCTCCCTTCCTCCAGGTTCAGAATTGCGTCACACAGTAAGCAGGTATTGCAGAGGTAAGCACATTATGTCACTCTTCCCTAAGGAGTCACACTTCTGTGTGCCGTGAGCTAAAGGAGGTAAAGTGGCCTTTCTGACTTCGGTTAAACTGACAGAAACTGGCAGCCCGGATCCTTTTGCCTTTGGTCCCACTTTTTTGTTTCTCCTTGTCGCGTGTGATAAAGCTTTCAATCAGCTTCAGTTTTTCGTGCTCTTCCTTCAGGAAGAAGTCAACAAGCACACTCTTCTCCTTTTTGATCTGTTCACTGATGTCCTTGGGGATGTCAGGAATCATCCAGTCAACCAGAACACTGAGGAACATGACCAAGTTCTGCAAACACAGCAACAGACATGAAGCAAGAACGAAAAATCCAAATTACTCCCACTAGAGCAAAATCAAAACTTTGCTGTAGCTATGAGGCAGGTATCAAACACATTTTGCTGATGGCCCTTAGTATTAAGCAGATGAGTAAAGCCTGAGTTCAAGAAATAGCTCGCATTTGTGCACAACTCCCCCTCATTGGAGTGGCTGAATGAAACCATGCTTCAGTTAGGTTTGAAACGGGAAAGGACTTGGGTTCATCACATGATTCATGGCCTAAGTAGCTAAAATAGTCTCACTCTTTACAGGTGTTCAAAGGTGCTCAGTTCTCAACATCAAATTCATTGAGGCTGAGTTCAGAATCCATTACTGTAAGAGCAACATCAGTGAAAGCCTCCTCCAATGCAATCATACTCATGTGTTTCCAATGTGGCCTGAGCAGACAGCAGACAACTTTCAGGGTCATTCTGCCTTCATGAATTCTGTCTATATTCTTTCATCCTTCTGTCTGCTGACAAGCAGGACTTTTTTACGCTATTGCAGTGTACAAGCCACAACCCTGAACCTCAAGTGTCAAGGTCATTACAGGTGATGTTCATAAGGCAGAGGCAGGAAGCATACGGGGCAAAAAATTTCCCTCGTTTGTGAAATTTATAGATAAATTATGCTTTGGGATTTATATTATCATGATAACGCTTTGAAAACTGCTGTGTTGTGTAATGCCACAAAATGTGTGAGAACATTTGCTGACAAGGCCACTAGTACGAACCCTCCGTCCCCATCTGAGACAATGGAGCTAATTAACCAGGGAATGTACTCTGGCAGAAAAACAGGCAGGCTATTTGAAGCCCAGCATAACCAGTTGGTTTCAAACGTTTTGCAGTCAGTGGTGGAAAATTACTGAAGACAAAGCAAAGAAGCAGAAGAGGGCAACACAAACTAGGCAGGACTCACAGATACGCTTAGGAATATCTGGCAGATAAGGAGAAAAGACAGGCAAATTTCAATATGAGACGTGGGCCATCTTTGACCGTGGAGGAATCCCAGATCATGGAGGAGAGCAGAAGGCTTCTGCCATTTGGAAGGCAAGCCGTGATAGCAAATCCCTTGCCAACGAAATCTCCACACTGAGGAGAATTTACTCCTTTTACTTTTAGAAAGTAGCAAAAGACCTTGGAGGATTTATTACTTCTGTTTATTTCTTGCTTTGGGCAAAGAACGGCTTTTCACGAGCCTTCATAGTATTTATGTGCTTTTTACAAGTGGAGAGTATAAAAGCTGACAGAGTCCACTTAAGTGAAACGTTCAAGAGCCTGGGGTATCTAGGGGATCACTGCTAGTGCCAGAGGCTAATGCAGGCTCTGAGGCTTCCCTTCTGTGAAGGGAGGGGAAATCTTTGCTGAGGAAGCGTGCCGCAGTGCTCCAAAGGGAGAGCCTGTCCTGCAACCCACCGACACCTTGGCAGGCTGGATGCAAACACATCAGGCCGGGTATTTGCAAACAGAAAAGCTCTATGCGATGTGGACTTCTTTTGTGCATGCATTTCAATCCACTTATGATGACATTTCTGTGACTGAAATTGCAGCGACTCAACAGACCTACCTGAAATAGAATAACAAAAGCCAAGCGAGCAGATAAGACTGCCCAGTACTGTTTAGAAAACTCATATTGATTTTGGGACCAAGGTGGTTCTCTGTAGTCTTTGAACCTGTCAACGAAAACAGGTCAGTTATTACACAATTCCAGCAATCTCCTCCTGCACCAGTTGCTTTGATTAACACCATTTTCTAATCATGAAATCTAAGGAATCAAATCCTCCAGATGTTCCTACTTCAACCCTTATTATGAAATACAACTCCAGAATTAGAGCTGGACTATCTCCACTGAATTTAGCAAGCTTAGTCTGGTTTTCACAGTTGTAACCAAAATAAGAACATTGTTCTAATGTTGGAAATTTCCAGATTTTCCAGGATTTACAAATGCACCCTTTTTTTTTTGGTTAAAGTAAAATCAATCTCAGTGTACAGGGAATAAAGTGTTGAAATTAAAGCATAAAGATAGTCCAAGGCATTTTCAGACCAAAGGAGACATGCCTGCGTTCATTTCACCTAAATCTTGATTAATTTAGGGAATAATTCAGCCCACGTACAATCTGACTCACACTCTGGTGGCTTCCGTCTTTGCATTAACGACAGGGGGAGCCACGGGAAAGGCACTTCCTAAATTAACTGTCTAGTTTTCGACAGGATAAAACAGAGCCTTAGTGGTTTGGTGTAAAGGCTGATGCTTTTAGTATTATCATCAATCATTTGGAAGTAAACAACAGGCTAATAAAAGTCACAGATGCTCCTAAATTGGAAAGTTTTGCAAATAGCAGGAAACACAGAAAGCAATAAGAAATACAGACAGGAAACACAATGAGAATTATCTGGGCAAATGGAAAATAATTAAAAATAAAACAATTGAAGGATCTTTGAAAGGATAGAGTTTGAAAGAAAATGCAATGAAAATAGCCTGGAGCTTACAGTGGCCAGCAAGTTAGCACAAGTTTGAAATATGGCAGCAGGGCAGTATGACTTGTCGATGTATAAACAAAAGGCACGATGGTACTGGGGGGTATTAGCCCTTCTCTGAACAGCTCAGGTAAAGCCACACCTGGAATGCTTCATTCAGCCATTCAGCTGTGGGGATTTCAGAGGGGGAAAAAAAAAAAGGGAAAAAAAAGGAAAAAGATAGCAACAAATTGAAGGCAGTTCAGCAAAACAATCCAGGGGCTGAGGATACTGACTCACCAGCAAAGATTAAAGAAGAGCACATGTATTGCTCCACTTTGGTAAGTAACAGCCACAGTTGGACATGATAACCATGCACAAATTGTGCCCTTAGGACTGAAAAGGATAATTTAGTGCTGTTCACAGTGTTTGACTAGGAGTAATGGGATGAAATTAAGAAAGGGAAAATCTGTTTTGAATACCACAAAACACTTCCTGACAGTAAGATTCATTAGACTGTGGAAAAGCCTCCACTGGGGGATAATGGAGAAGGTTCATATATAAAATCTGTCAGCTTCAGTTTGCAGGTGTGCTTACCAAAATTACCTTCAGGTTCTATTCACATGGTTTTGCATGTTAAACTACACATTTACAATCCACACCCCCACTGCCTCCTACCTCCCCCCTGCCCCTCCCCGTCTAAGAAATTCAGTCTGAAATGCTGGGTGTAAATCTGTGCCACACCTTCTGGAGACAAAGGGCACAAGGTAGAACCCATGATGGGAGGAGGAGGAAGAGGAGGAGGGAGAGGAGGAAAAATCTACTTTAAATTGGAGGCTGTATTAATTTATGGAAGCACTACATTGACCATGTTAGACCCTGGATGATTTTTTTTGTTCATCGGTGCGTACAGAGCAGCCGAGCTCATTGTCCTGCCTCACACGGGGTTTCCGTTTGGTCCTGTGCTGTGCCTGCACTGTGAGATTCCTCCTCTAGTATCTTTCTGTACAATGCGGACTCCCATGTGCTTCTCAAATCTGTGTACGAGGGCTGCGGCGAGGGCCAGGATCAGTTCCCTTGAATTTAATCTGCTTGAACATCAAAGCCAAGGAAAACCACTGAGTTTGTTATGGATTTTGCCTAGCACTATAAATCAATCCTAGTCTTGAAACGGAGCCCAGGTTCACCTTCATGGGTCACCAACTGTGGTGGGTTTTTCATTTAATGTACTCCGCGCTTTACAAACTATGGAAGTGTTGCAGGACATCAGACCCCACGGAAATTTCTACTGGCTCAGCTGGAAATCACACTGCTTATGATGCCTGAGTCTACATTCAACAGAACACTAGCAAATGATTTATGGTGAAGGGAGGTGTTGTCAGAGCTACAGACAAGGTAGCTGGGCTTCCTCCCCACCTCCATTTTTAATTATTCTGTGGCACATGGGACTTCAACGTGCAATAATCCAGGGCTTTTCTAACCACTCTATGCTACAGGTCGTTTCTTTAAAAAAAAAAAGTCCATCTTTTCCCTCACGTCTTCAATTCTTCATTCTTAGAAAATTTGTTTCAGAAAGTACAATAGGAAGAGCAAACAACTGGTGGTCCACAGACTATTGTATTTTAAAAATAGGAAATATAACTCCACTGAAAAAGGACAAGAATATGAAGTAGTCAATGCGGTTTAAGAATAGAGCACAGGAAAGTTCTGAAGGGGAAAAAGAAAAAAGCACACTGAGAGTTAGAGATATGTTGAGGAAGTGAGGATGAATGGAGCAGACCAGGTAAGACTTAGATAAAACTGAACTGCAGGCAGAGCTAAGAGAAACATGCAAGTATATTTAAAAAGTATGTTGTGTGGGGAAAAGAAGGACTGGTAGAAAAAAACAAAATGCGTATGTAGGCGGAAGTATGAATCAGCCTAAATAAGCTGATCTGTTTAATTTCCTTTTTCAGCTGGTCTTTGACAAGAAATTGAAGAAAACATGACCAAATCACAAGGAAGTGTTTCAGCAATGAGGGAGTATACAAGAATTGTTCAGGGAAAAACATTAGAATACACCACTGATCATGAGAATCCACCACTGATCATTGGGAGAAGATGAGATGAGTTCCAGGACATTAAGAAAATTGATTAATTCAAGGGCACTTTATAAATTTGCTGAATATTGGAGTAGATTTGTGTTAAGAGTCCCTTTAATGACTCCTATCTGCTGCTTTCTTCTTTTCAATGTGACCAGCATGCTTTCATGTACTTCATTATCATACCAGATTGTACAGATTAAAAGGGCTAAACCAATAAAACGTCACATAACTTAGCAAGGTTTGCTTTTAATTTTCCGTCAGCTACACAAATGTCCCTTCACTCTGAAAAAAAATCCTTACAACTAACGCTATGCATCCGAATGGTGTTACAGAGATGTTTATTTGGAAGCAGTGTCAAAGAGTTCACAATGTTGTAGAAAATGCTGCTCAAAACATTCAAAGAATGTATCTGGGCGTTCAGTGGGAGAGTTGTTTCTGGCTTGTTACGGTTATTTTTAAGATACCTTAATCTCTGGCAATGCCCGTAAGGAGCAAAATGCAGGCTTATTGTAACCACATTTATCTCTAGAGGTCATAGAAATCTAAGAATAAGAAAGGTCAGCTTGTTCCCAACATGTTTGCCAGAAACAGTAAAGCAGATTTTAGTTTCAGCTTAAGGGACAGTATTTGTTACTTGTCTCTTGGGACACATGCCAGATACCCCATATTTTATCACAGTGATACTTCTGTCCAAAGCTGTGATTTTGATAAGATTCAAATGAGGTGGGTGATCAGAAGAAACAGTGAATGTGGATGCTGACATCTTTCCCCAATTGTTTCCTGATAACAGAACAGACATCCTCTCATAGTTGTTTCTCATTCAGACTAGTACGTAGTCAAACATTCAGTATATACTTCTTGTTTGCAACCATTTATTTATTTTTTTTAAAACTCAGTGGCATAGACTTGATATTATTAGGCGGGACCAGTTTTATACCTAGTGTGGATTGTTCCCTTCTCCCTGTATTCTGGCTCTGTTGAATCCATGCTCATCTGAGAGTTCTATTTCATCACCATTGTTAATGCAGGCGATTCCAAATACACTAGCAGTCATACGTCATAAATAGCGGCCACTGACTGAGACCAGGTAACAGTGGCAAAGTGAAAGTAGAAAAGTCACAGTGGAGTGGGAGATCCATACAGATCAAGATGCTTGTTGAAGGAAAACACAGGCTAATTTGGGGATACAAATTAAAAAATGCTAGGAACTGAGAGCAGAAAAGCATTTCACAGACTTACAAGTCTATCAGAAAGTACGGAGATGCTGCACACTCTCACACATCACATTATACTAAGAAATAACTCCTGGCAACACAGTGAAATGGGGAATAGCAGAGCTCACAGGGAGCAACATTTTGAGAAAAAAAAGAGGACAGGCCCCAGGTTTAAAGAGCTTTACCCTTTGTCTGTCACAAGCAAAGCAGCAGGTAGAGCACAGCATGCAGCTTTAAGCACTGAAGAGCTATTTTTTTCTGTTCTGTCTGCCCTCAACTCTCATCTGACCTCTTCCCAAGAGGCAGCCTAGATTCCTTTAAGAAGGTTCCTGAGACCGGGATGTGACTGTGCTGAGTTACACGCTCTTTCTTAAAACTTAGGAGTCTTATCTGTGCTCTCATCTAGTCTTCACTGTAGTCAAAGGAAGAAAGTAGCTAAGTCCCAAAGGCAGTTCCAAGAGCAGTGCTTGAGTTAGAGGGCCAGCTTTCTCTCTGCATTTACTCTGCTTCCACTGAAGGAACTGAGATGCATAAGTTTTGTGGCTTATAGTTGGGTGAGATAAATACCCTGCTTAAAATCAGTGAGAGCTTCCATCTACCCTTTCTCAAGCTGTTGAGCAAAACATCTTATTCCCTAATAAAATCAGAATGGAAAAAACCTCTGATTTTGTGGGAGACACGTATGCAGTCTACATTTAGAAATGTGCAGTCATTTAGAAGCAAGTGGAGGTTTTTGCCTGCTTCAGGAACCTGGCTAGAATATGATCCCTTAAATAGCTAGTCAAAAGAAGCAAACTGTTCTGAAGGGCAATTTACAGCACCTGTTAGAAGCATAATTACAAAGTTAATTTCTCACTTTGCTTTTAAGTGGCTGCTTGTTTCTAAATTAATTTATTTTTAGGGGGGTAAAATCAGCAAATATTTAAATGTAATTAAACTTTTCGTGGGTTTTTTTTTTGTTTGTTTTTAAGTCAGAATGTTTGATTTATTTGAAATATTTTCTCTCTACAACTTTATCATGAAGATAAAGATTTTGGCAGGATAAAAATTTGCATCATAACTAGCTTTAGTTACAAGCTTTCTATGTCAAGCTGAGAGCTACTCTTGCAAATTTATAGAAGAGACTAATAGTCATAACTTAATAGTAACCCTATAAAAAATATTCACCTGCCTTAGCTATCTCTATTTACTCTGTGAATATAATTTCTTTAAGAAACTCTGAATTTCAGATATGCAGAAACGTAGGGATGATTGGAACTAATAATGAAGAAATCGATCTGTATTTTGAATACAGATTTATCAAGGACAATGAATTCAAGTGAACGGGAGAAAAGAAGAAAGAATTCTGAAGCTCTAACCAGAAAACACTACTTGGTACTTACAATATCTACAATACTAGCAGCATTTTCTGCCAGTATCTGAGTATTCAGTAAACCAGTATTGCAAGAAAAGGCCAGTCTGATGCTAGATGGCACATGAATGTCACCTGTAAGATCTGTCTCACCATTCTGCTCTGCTTGGTAACCGATTTGGTGCTCTTGTCTAGACACTGATTCTGAGAGAATATGGTGATAAGTTTCAGGAATCTCATCTTTGGCACCTTAGCCAAAATTTGAACTCAGAGTAAAACTACACAATGAAAACATGAGAACAAAGACCGGAGTTTGAGAAAGGAAACTGGGAAAGACAGAGGTGAACCTAGTTTTAGAACAAGGACAGGTTCAGATGGCAACTATCAGGAATGCTACATTCAAAAACCTTGCCATCCACCGGAAAAAGACAGTGAACATCAAAACAAGGGAGGCAAATTAAAGACCTAGGTGTAGTAAAAACCATATAAATGAAGGCTCTCCTTTCCAAAGAAAATGGAAGAGCAAGTTCTGTGATGATTTCTTGCTGTCGCAGAGGCTAAGCACAGTGTGATTTCAAGGGCGTTCAAAAGGAAGGTGAGGCAGGATGCTGAATATAGCACTGACCCAAGGGGCCCAGTTTTGAACAGCCTTGGGTTGTACTGCCTTAAAACAGTTCTTTGAATTTCTGCATATTTGTATAAAAAAGCAAGGTTACATTGAGAGCCCTGGAACTTGGTTTGCGATTTCTCATGTAAACTGGAACTACTCCATGGATATCTGCATTACAGGAGCAGTGGGCTAGACATTTTGGATATATTTTAAAGGAAGTCAAGACTTGTTTCCCCAGTCTGAAAAGATGAATCTGAAATATAAGACATATAGATGGGGAATGATGGAATGGTGCAGGTTTTAAAGATGGGTTGAATATTTTGAAAACTTAGTACTCATCAAGTAAACGCTGAATTTAATAAAGAAAAAGAAAGCCTGGTTCTAACTTGTGGCTGTCCATTTTAAACACTCATTGTTTTTAATGGAAGGTATGTCTTTCAATAAAGAAAGGATATTTTTTATTTGAGTGAGTCTACCTAAATTTTTTGTTTTGCTTTTTAATGCACTGAAATACCGTTCTAAGAACCTTCTAACATAGTGAGAAAACTCGAAAAGCTGCACTCTTAACACCAGCTTTTTAAAGGCACAAATATTATCAGTTCCCACTTGGAAAGTTTTGTCTGACAGAAGACCCAAAGAAACTACTCTGACTATGCAAACTGTAATTAGAAGTACTTTACCTGCAGAATAAAACATCTTGTGCAAACGGGGAGTTTTCTGGCTGTGTTCCAGCCTTGAGGTGACTGACATTGAAGTATGAGAGCGTGTGATTGATGAAGCCATGCATGGTGCCATTTTGACTGTACGCATACTGATACATAAGGCGTGGAATGAAATCAGATGTGACAGCAATTACAAAAGCCTGAGAGACAAAAAAAAAACCAACCAAACAACAGCATCATGAATCTCTGTCTAACATGTTTCAGTGTAAGTTGATTCAGGTGATAATTTTCACATTCAAGTAATTTTGCCGTTGTGATGAAGCGAGAGTTAAATGGCCAGACGTGGTACAGAACGTATACTTATATAAATGCACAGTAGCCTGCTCTGTCTCTTCAGGGGAAGGTTGTAGTTAGGGAAGTGAAATATTTCTTAGAGCACAGAGTAGCAAAAACAATTAATGTACTGTACATTTCACAGAATCATAGAATCATAGAATGGTTTGGGTTGGAAGGGAACTTAAAGATCTTCTAGTTCCAACCCTCCTGTCACAGGCACGGACAACTCCAACTGCAACTGCAACTCCAACTCTTCAACTCTTTCCATCCCTGGAGCCACTAGAGGTTTATTACTAGTTTTAAAAAATGAGAACAAGACATAATAGCTAGCTGGTATAATTTGGAGTATAATTTGGTGTAGTTACACAGTGTTATGAGATAAACCAGTTGAGTGTAAGAGAGTAATCCTCCATTTCCCCATCTGACATCGGTGCATTTAATGCTGGTATAAAACTGGTATAATTGGGAAGTGAATCAGACACAGAAATATCTAGATTGCATGAATAAGAATTCATTAGCTTCCTTTAAAACTACATTTTGCTAAATAGTGTTTCTGCATCAGTATTATTCAGATAGAGAAGCAAAACAGGGCATTCAGTATATTTTAAAATTGGCTGTGCATATATTTATATTTCTGTCAACAAAAAGTAGTTAACTGGTATTTCAATGGAATCTCCAGAAAATAAACATGTTCAGAGTTCGATTGACACAGAAAATAACCAAGGATCATAAATCTGCAAAGCGTATTCAGATAAAATCAAGAGGCTGTAGAGTTTTGTTCATCAAGTGCAAATCGGTGCTGGAAAGCTGAAATCTATGCCTTGCAGCAAAATTATGGGTATGTGCAGGGCTGCACAGATTTCCTACCTTAAATCCTGGAAACTGTGGAGCCATAAATGAACAATGTTCCACCCAGGTCAAACAACATTGCTTTTCTGGAGGTACTATAGTTCTCCCAGTTGTAATAGCTTACGTACTGCTACAGATTGTTGTTGTGCTGCCTGCTATTGTACTAGATAAATTGCATAACACCTCTGCGCAAGTTTCCCCTTCAGTAGTGACAATCATCTACCTTTCTAAAGTACTTAATATCTTTGATATTTTATGGATGCACTAGATGATCTTAAAGGTCTTTTCCAACCTAAATGACTCTGTGATTCTATGATCTATGGGTCAAAAACCCACTAGACAGTATTGTGATTAAACTCCTAGGACATAAGTCTATTTTATCTTAAAGCATATACAGGAAAAGTCTATTTAAACAACACACGCAGAACAATAAACATAATATATCTGTATTACAGGCCCACATTATGTTCATGCAATTGTTCTATGAAGGAATATGTCTTTCCAATAAGATTTTGTAGTTTGGGGATTATGAAACCTAACTCAATTAAAAAAAAAAAAGAAAAGCTAATCTTACAGGAATACTCACTCTATGGGAGAAATCATATTTAGGGATATAACCACACCTATATATATATCAGAACAAATGCTATCTAGCTAAGGACTTTCTACTCCTAGAATCTAGGATGTTGTATTTAAATTCTTTTTATTCATACCAACAGTTATACTAGTACAGTAACAGAAAAGGGCATAGGTATGAACAAGAAGTAGATCTTTATCAATTGTCTGGAGTTTTGCCTGCTTACATCCCCTTCATTGGTTGTTATATGAGTTAGTCTTCCTGTCCTACATAACACAAGGATAGAGAGAATGAGATGAGTGAATGATCATCTCATTTGTAATCAAAATATGTTTTACACATCCACAAGAATGAACTGGATAATTTAGATTTTATTGTATTTTATAGCAATTGAGAAAACTAGACTTCACTTTTAAATTGGGTTAGAGGGACTATATAAGCTCCCAAGATTGTGGTTAGAAACTGGTGTAACCAAATACTTACATTAATGATAACTGAAAGCTTTCCAATACCACTCAAAATGTTATACCAAATTCCTGTAAGTGAAAACCATAGTTTATTAATGGATTTAATATATTTTTTCTTCTTTATTGAATTGTTAATGTTATCTTCATTGTAATGTTTTTTCATTACTTACCTATATCTTTTGCTCTTACTGTGTCTGGCCTCCTCAGTTCAGTAACAAACTTTTTTGCATCAAGCCGGACTTCTATGATGTTGTTCAGAAGAGCAAAGAGAGGTGCCAGAGGGAAGGAGGCAACAAAGAGTGTGACAAAGCCAAACTGGATAACTGGAATAGAAATATGCAATGTTTTCTGATATTTTCTGAAAGGATCTGGTAAATGCAGCTGACAGTAAATTGTTGATGAGCTTTGTGGGTTACAAAACCTATAAAACACCACTTCACAATTTGGTCCCAGTGATAAATATCACAAAGCAAGGCTACAAAAGAGAGAAAGATTTGTCACTATGTTTTATGAATGTTTCTAATAATGCTTCTAGTCTCTAGCACGTCAGTACAAGCCAAAGTAAATAATAAATTCAATAAAGGACAAAGGGTTTGGAGTGTATTCCTCTGCATTTATATATAATTAACTGATTAAGACTGTGCTGTTCTTCCCTGTTCTTTTGCCTGTAAGGAGAATGATACCGAAGTAAGCAAGAATAGAAAATCTACAAGGCATCACTGTTTCTTTCCAGCTTTGTTTGGAAAACTCGGTGGCAATATCTCAAGAGCAGGAACAGAATAAGCATCTTTGTGGATGCATGAGCCTATGGTGTCATATAGCATTTTCATTTCACCTTATGTCACTGATATCCTCCAAAGTCAGAAATCTTCCTCTTTAAGTCCTAGCAATGGAGAATGCTATTGTCACTTTTTTTTTTTTTCCTTGGGTTTGCAATTTAGGTGAAGTAGTTTGGGAGAAAGAAAGCACTAGTTCACTGGTCCTAAAGGACAAGTAGTATTACAATGAAGCACAGACCTCCTGAGTTCTAGATGCTTGCTAGAATGGATACACAACTAATAAGCCAGGCTTCTTCCACAGGGGAAAAAAATCAACCAACCAACCAACCAACCAACCAACCAACCAACCAACCAACCAACCAAAGAAAGCCCTCTCCCTTTGAAGTGGATGACAGTTTCTACCATCTTGTGCCCAGTACTAGACTACTAGCACCACAGAGTTCAGCTCAACACCCATAGTGTAATGATATAAACAAAGACCACGTCATTTTCTGAGTGAATTATGGCTTTTTTCTAGGGCATAGGATGACCTATCTCCATGTAAACAAATTATCTTCTAAGCAGTTAAAGAACCAATGTCACTTTACAAAACTCTCAGTGCTCTAGAGATGCTTAGAATAGCGTAGCAGAAAACCAAGTTTCTCAAAGCAAGCTTATTCAGTTTTTGGATGAGCAGAGTATGCTTAGTCCCCCCTTCTTTCAGTGGCACTTTAGGGCCCACAGAATCTACCTCATCTGGGTAAGTCTCATTTGCATACAATTACAGCCTGAAGAGGGCTAACATTTTCTTTTCTCCAAGGTGCTGAGGAATTAACAAATTAAAAGGCTGTGCCTTCCATGGAAAGCAGGAGGCATCAGTAGCGAATGTTACTCATGAAACTGGATCATTTCCTTGTAAAAATGCTATATTATTTTAATGTAATACTGCAAGGAAGTGAGAAAGGTTTATTATCACAGAAAACTAAAGAGGAGTAGAAGAGGAGAAAAGAGACTGAAAATCATGCTGCCCAAATGCAAAGGCAGTAATCCCAATAAAATTAAACTAATAAATCTACCTGTGACGTATGCTTCAGAATTAAATTAATAGTAGAAAAGAAAAAACGTTGGTGTGTATGAGGCTCTATTTATTGTGGCTTCTTTTTCAGAAAATCCCTGTTTAAGTTCTTTCTCCACTCTAGGAGAAACATGTTGCACTTTTTGTGAAAATCAGGGTTTTACATAGCATAACCGTTTACTTTAAATTCATTTCCTTAGGCACTGTTGTACAGCAGACAACTAACAGATAAAACAGCTTTCTCCAGGATCTTCTCTTGCATGCATCTTTTTTTGTGTGCAGATTGCAAGTCTTCTGACTTTTGCTTTTCTCTTCTTAGTGACAATATATTTGCACAGTAAAGTGTTATATCTCTATTATATATATGGCCTTTTGATTTTCATTCTCATTGTTTTGCTTTGAGATAAAAGAGTATGTCCTAACATACACTAAGATGGAACTTTTTCGAAGCACATAAAAATCCTATCCTTGAAATCATACTTTCCTGAATATTTTATGTTCAGATTCAGGAAAAGGAATTAACAAGGAAATAAAAACAGATGTTAGAGTAATGTCCCCCAAAACTGTGTAATACTTAGAAAAGTACATAGCACCAAAATATGCTTTATTTGGTTTTAAGTGAATTTAGTAGGAATAGAGCTGGGAGGATTCTGGTAAAAAAAAAAAAAAAAAGTAAAAAATGAAGTATTTGTAATGCTTTAAGTATAAACCACACACGCATTTGCTTTGATGTTGTTTGCAGCTCCTTTTGTTCTTTGCCTGGGAAAATGTAGTTTAATTTTTTTTCAAGTTCATGAAAGAATGTTCAAGGTATGCAAAGGACTTCTGGACAATTGTATAAATATGTCTTCATAGGAAATTCCATGCCAGAAGTGTTTGTGTGGCCATCTTGAAATCTCTTCAATCGTCTAGCCTCCTTTTTATGAAAGTGTGAATGATGCAAAAAGCAGGTAAAAAATCACAAAAACAAAACAAAGCATGCTATAATTGAGATGGTCTTGTGTAGTAAACTAGCAAACAATCATTCAAAACAAGCAGTCTGTGAACAGCCTCGGCAATTTAAAAGTACTTGTTTAGTTCGGTCAGTATTTGTAGAAACATGTCAACAAAGCTGTATGGATTGAGAAGAGAAGAATCTCTGCCATGCAGATCAGGTCCCAGAAGCAGATCAGGTCCCAGAAGCAATCTAGTCGCAGCAGCCTGGAGTTCTGCAAATGCTTGTTAAGTCGCAGTGGAAGCATTTATAATACTCCTAGAGCACTCACAATGACTCTTCCATCAAGAACAGCTGATACCAAGACATCCTATTTTTGGCCGGAGGACTTGATGGCAACCTTGGCATACCCTTTTTACATTCATGCTTATGCCATAAGGTCTCCTTAAAAAGCTTTTCTAGTGTTCAAATACAACACTATGACCCCACATAGAAGTTCTGCCTGACTTCGGTGATTATTGAGTGCTTTGAGGCCAAAGGCCAGGGAGACCTGTGCCAGGATTTGGACCTTTGGACATCCAGCCTCTTTCATAGCTTTCCTACTTGCCTGGTAGGCCAGCCTGGAGACAGCAGAGATGAACATCACCCAGCCTCATGGCACAAGCTAGCGAACAAAGTGGTTGAGGGCTGTGTATAAGGGGAAATCGAGGACATGGGAAATAACACTTTCCCCTGGGGCACAAATGCAGAAGACTAGATGTGCTGTCAGTGATGCAGACCTTATTTCTGATGAGATAAAAAAACTATTGGTACCCAGGGCAAGTCATCTTTACTAACTGACTCACGCAGGAAAGAGGAAAGACCTCAGAGTGAGGTGCAACGTTCTCAACACCTCATGCCACATCTGCAACATCTCATCCAGGCTTAGGCTGGCTGGGCCCTGAGACAAAAACTATAAAAGATAAACATCATCAAGAGAAGTCTCTTAGATCACAGTGCTTTTTAGAAGCCTGCTTTTCACAGAAGCTGTTCCTCTGTGCACAGGGCCTGAACAGAACCCAACACCAACAAAGACATAGCACATGCTGTCCCGCTAAATCTGGCCTCCGAATTATGATTAAAAGCACAGATCAAGGCTTTTCAGTTACTGATCTGGAGAGTGCTGTCTAGCATTCTTATGTGAGGGATACAGAATCGGTCCTCAGCATGAAGCCTTCCACATTGAATAACACTCAGGTTCTACCAGATTTACACATCGCGTAGTGTGAATAGCTCTAGGATCTTTTATATCAAAATCTAACCTAAGAGAAGGTAATTGTTTACAATTCTGTTGCTTTTTTTCTCACCCCTGTATCAATAATATCTGTCATAAGATCATGCATTATTGGAAGTAAACAATGGACGAATGACTCCTATGCTAAGTGACTTTCTGAGTCCTAAGAAGAAACTTTTCAATATAGAGCCAAGTTTCTCTGTCTGAGAAACTAAGGAAAAGGTGTAATTTACTGCTCTTTGGTAATAAATGTATGCAACAAGCCTACACACAACAGGCTGACTTGATATTTTCAAATCCATCCTCATTACAGAGATTATAGAAAAATGCAGGTTTCTCTTCAGTGATTCCTCTTTTTTATTTTTTTCCTTCCTTTCGCTGCCTCACACATTGCCTTTTTGATGGCTTTTCCTGCTTTAGGGGAAATTCTTCCAAACCTCTAAGATTAATCCTTATGGTAGTCAGTAGCTGCAGACATTGGATCTGATCATTTGCTTCTTAAAATTCAAAAGGGAGTTTTACCACTGATTTTTAACAGAAGTTGGATGATGAAACCCTTTATTATTATTCCTCTTTGAAGAGAAAATGTTTTCGATTAATTGCTACATGAACTTTGGACTCTTAGAGGGGTTAGACTGGAGAAGGTCCAACCTTAGAAGATTCTAAGAAGGGAAGACCAAATGAAGTAAGAATCTGAAAGTCATTGCTGATGTCAGTTTCTTCTCAAGAAAACAGTCAGTAGTAGTATAAATTTCACACATTCAATTGGTTTTGGAGTCTATTTCATAAAGTTTGTTTCATTAGCCATATTTATTACTACTCTAAACATCAATTTCTTGACAACTCTTATCACTGCAGGCTCATTACACATGTTGCAAGCTTGCTATCAGCTGGATGAGAAAATTTTTACACATGCTGCCTACTTCGGGAAGGCATGTGTTCTGATGTATTGGGCTGAGTCAAAAGTCATTGAATAGTTTTAGAAACAGGAAGTACTAATGACAAATTTGACACATGTTAACAACGACAATTTATGTTTCAGGATTCCTCGAGCAAAATTTTCTAATCACTCAGGAACATAAAGAGTGTCTCTGCTGAAAAGTGACTACTAAAAAATACAAATATATATCAGTTAATAACATAAAAACAAACAGTCGTCAGAAATTTCACTGGTGCAAATCAAAACTAAGTGCAGACATGCTATTGACTGACAAGGTTTGTTTAAGAAAGAAGTTCAGCATAGTCTGTGACTGAAATCAGAATCAGAATTCAGCTCCCTGAAG